AAAATGTAAATAACCTGGTGAAAGGATATGAAATATCATAAAATGACTGGATAAAACGTTTTTTGAGAATCCAATTATTTATTTTGCTCTGATTCCAGACGAATATTTACAAAAGATTTGCGGAGTAATGATGGTGAATACTAGAGATTAAGCTAATTTGTTTCCAAGTTATTAATTCATTCACGCTCAGTAAATATTTTTTAACAAACACAAATACTGTTTGAAATAGTAATATGATTTTAGCTTTCATAAAGTTTATTAGTTGTGGTGGATACTTCATTATAATTTAAATTCAAAAATAAGAGGGATTATATGGTTTTGTTATTTTTCAAAATATAAATGACCTTAGGATTAGCAGGATACTGTATGAAACAAAAACAGCAGGCGAGTTGTGACAGTTGATGCTTCGACACTCTTTAGTACTACATTAAACTAAGAACTTGTTAAAGACAAAATATTCAAAAACAGCTGATTTAGCTGTGATTTTACTTTAATCTAGTATATTTATTAAAGAAAAATTCAATTTAATTCCACATGTAGTTTATATATGTGGTAGAAAACTCTAGACTTTAGTCACATGTTAAACATCGCGACTGTCAACGTTGACTCAATTTAATATGACGAAGAAAAAAAAAAATTCAAATTATTAGGTTAGTTACATGTAAAGCTTGAAAGTATATTAAGAATACTTTTAAATTACTTAAGAAGTTTTTAATTCGTCGGAATTCTAGAGGTTAAATTCCAACAGTAAAGAAGCATTTGTAATGCGTTGGAACTTGTGTTTATATTTTAAAGAAGACTCAGTGAAGCCTTTAGTGAAGACAGCATTTCTTACCTGAAACGTGGAGAATCCTTCAGACATTCATCGAAATCTACAGTCTGCTTCATCACCTTTTTTTCCATGGCCATTGTGACAGCATTGAGGGTAGTAATGAGATTTTCCTGGCAGGAAATATCCGGTCGTTTCTCGTTAACCATTGGCCGCCATCTTGGATTATTGGGCTGAAACCGTTCTACATACCAGTCTTCCTCTGCCTGTCTAAAAAAAGGGAGCCCGGAATTTTAAGTGAGTATATCTTCAAATTTTACTCTGTTTTTCAGTCTGCATTTTGTGCAATATAGAGGCTAAAAGGCTCTAAATAAAAAGTAAAAAGTGAAAACTATCATGCAATAGCAATTTTTATTTTATTTTATGGCCTCTTGTCTAAGCAACATAGAGAGGAAGGACTTTCATATCGTAAAGGGCAGGGATGTTTGTCGTATACGTCTTTGAGGCATTAGATCTGCGATTTGGTACCATTCAGGGTGTTACACTAAATCAAAAGGACCACCAGAGAGTAAGACGATACCTCTCAGGGCAACGGGACCAAAACCCTGATTTCAAACCCTAAAAGGGACGACCAGGACCTCCGACCCCTTTTATTGCCACATAAAAATTGCTCGTGTCAGGGCGGGGCTTTAATGTTCACCTTTTCGGCGCTAGCCATCTAGCGGTATAAATGGTGTTGCATCGTGTTACGGTCACCAAGAAGTTCGGACATTGGCCTGGAATTTCAATGCGAATGTACTGACTTTCTGCTATATAGCAAAAAAAACCTACTATGCATCAGCCAATCGAACCACAGCACCCAGACCCCAAGGAACGACCAGGGAAAGTAGCATTTGCCTAGTTTGAAGTGACGTGTTTTCTCCGGTCCTCGGGGCAATACTACACCACAGAACAAGAGATTGGGCTGCCTGTGGTGTAGCGAGTGAGCGTTGTAAGCGTAGGGAAGCGTAGGGAAGCGTAGGGAAGCGTAGGGAAGCGTAGGGAAGCGTAGGGAAGCGTAGGGAAGCGTAGGGAAGCGTAGGGAAGCGTAGGAGTAGTATGAGGGGTGGTTTCCGCCAAAATGTGGATGTGTATTCTAATGTTCAATATTATGTTTCTTTGCTGTCTTTTTCTTTTCGCTGATGCTAGTTGACTTTGAAAGAATTCAATTCGGCACAATTCACTTGTTCCTATTCCGTTAAAATCACTTTGGAATGTTTTCACATTTTCTTCTTTCGTATTTCTCCAAATTTAAGATTCTGTATTCGTATGAAATACGAGGTTGGATAAATTACTAGACGTAGTCTAGACGTTCATTACTTGTGCACGTGCAGACTACTACGCTTGTTATCACTTGAGTGAGAAACAGGAAAGTTTATATGAGGTTGGATTATCATGAGTTTGGTCAATAATGTTTCTGGCTTGGCGGAGAAGACTGACAACATGTGAATTAAAATCATTAAAACTTGTATATGTAGCATTCGAATATCTAGAAAAGGCTCCAATTATCCAGTGTATATGAAAGATTATAACATCAAGATGGTCAAAGTCTAGGTTACCTCTCTCAATCGTACACAATATTTTCAAAATAT